ACACACACACACACACCACAGGTAGAGGGGTTCCTTGATGGCAGCCAGCGGAGGAAATTCTTCTGAATTTTAAATCTACCTGAGGACACATTTTCCCTTCTGTATGTGCATCACATAAGGGACTCCTGATAAGGAGGGAGTCTGAGGGTGATGCACCACTCAGACCAGTCGAAGCCCCCACCCACCCTTTCCCTTACGCTGACAAAGAGGGAGAACAGACGAGAGGGGTTTTCTCTCTCAGTTTCACTCTCACTTCCTCCCCTCTGGCGAAAAAGACAGATGTAAAGATTGTGTGCGAACGTGTGAACACTGACGGGGCAGAGTGACTGCACAGGGTGTGAGCTCGCTGTGCACATGGACACACTGACTAACATATGATGCCTCCTGAATTTCCAAAATGTGTAATACTAATGCATATTGGAGTCGATGACCATCCCTGAAGATGTTTCCCTACAAATTTCCATTTTAATAACTTCTGTGACCTGAAAACACAGTGGTGATTAAGAAAGCCTTTGTATGTGCATAAAACACTGAAACAACTAATAGTAATAATAATAATAATAATATGAATCTATCTGTTGGCTGCAAGAGGCAACACACATCAAAGTGACTGATCTTCAGAGGCACAGTTGTGCACTAAGCATGTATATTTTGACATTTTATTGATGTGATGGCTGATACTTGGACTTGCGGTCTGCAATGTGTTTCAAAAGCGAGCAAAAGAGCACAGAATTACAAATATGACTGTTCCCTTTCTAAGCAGTGTTGGTGAGTAATGTCTGAGCCCAATGAAGCCTAAACGTGCAACACACACCTGTTTACCAAGTCGACCCACACCCGTCGTACACACTGGTCACATCAGATGCAGTCAGTGTCCTGCAGTCAGATGTGCTGATCTTAGGAATAAATCGACGAAAATGTGCTGCTTTTCTGCTGAGTTGGAACGCATTGATGCTATGAAACGGGACAGCGGTGTATCCCGACACCCTGACACGTGTTAAGACGCCGCCGGAGTATACATGGAAAACTATGGGTCCAGATGTCTCGTCCGCATCATATATCCTCAGTGTGTGTTGCCCTTACTGTTTGAGTCAGTGTATGTAGATGAGTACAGTGACATTATGCGGGGTTTGTGTTCACAGGTGCAGCAACGAGAGCCCGATAACTGGAGGGGATAAGAAGTAATTTCACTGATCATTTCAACTTCAAGAAGAACGATGTGTGTGTCCTTTCATATCTGTTGAGCTTGATAAATGTGGATTTATTTACAAGATTTCATCTTTTCCTAACTGAAATACTGTAATGAATAAATGTATCTTTATTGGCAATACTGTGACTCTAAAAGAGAAAAATGCACTTCTTTTGTATTTTGGAATTTGTTTACATTAATGCATAATAAAGTAAATCTCTGAGAGTAATGTTTTTATCAACAAACGTATTTGATAACCCAAAGAAAATATAAATCAAAATCTTGATTCATCCATGGTTTTTTTCCTTGTATCACTGCATGTTTCAATGTATCTGGTTGTTCTCTACAGTCGGGTTTGAAAGCATTCAATTTCATAACGTTTAACAACTTTTACTGTGAATGTTTCCATTGTGTCATTTGTTTCAAACGTGAACAGCACTGTCCTAAATGACTTTCCTATGATTGCTGTTTCGGGTTGTCTACCACACAGGCTTGCATGAGACTTGACAGCTCACTTGAGCTCATCTTTGCAAATGGACAGAAAGTGACCTTTTTCTGGTTGATGAGTAATAGTGAGATGAAAGGAGGCAAGCGTCGGCCTAAAACGGCTAGAATTTCTCTACTGTTATGTAGCAGTGGACTTTCTCCACAGAGAAAATATATCTACTTACTTCTTTTTGGCTCAACACTAATACTTACATTAAAAATGTTTCCTGTTTTTGCAACATGCTCATGTGTATACGTGTAGGTGGTCATGATGCAGTGAATGCATTCAGGTTGTCAATACCACACCTACGAACACTACCTATGACACGGTATAGCTGCGGCTCCACTGATTCAAAATGAAAATGGGAAGTGCCGTCTTCCTGTAGTTTCCTGTCGAATGCACTCAAACAAGTTTACGTTCACACACACTTCCATCTATAGGCCCCACGCACGCGCGTCTTGACGCCACTCTCGAATCGCGTAGTGGTGACTGCCAGTGGAAAAGAAAATTTCATTACTCACACACACCAGTTTCTGCAGCTTTCCAACTCTCTGCAAGTGGTTTTCCTGTGTCCTCAGGGATAAGTATAAAAAGGTAAGCAACACAACTGTCTGCATTTCAAGTAAATCTTTTGAAACGCGTCTTTTGGTGATCTAGTGCCTGCTGCCGATACTGAGAATATGAAGCTGCTTGTGTTTTGCCTTTTTGCAGTCTGCTGCTGTTCTCTGGCCAACTCATCACCAAAGGAAAGGACTTTGCAGAGGAAAAAGTTACAAGAAATCCTAATCCAGCTGAATGATGTGAGACAAAGCCTGCAGGTAGGTCCTTCTACATTTACTTTTTCACAGCTTTGTCCGTGTAAGGCTAGCACAGTTATCATTACTAAATACCATGCTGTCCGTTTGTTTCTTGCAGCAGAATGATAAGCAGCAGCAGATGCTGAATACTCCAGAGAACATTGAGGTAAGCTAAATTGTATTCAATATAATAGTATGGACACTGCCACAGTTAATATTTGTGGTTGCTTACTCATTGTTGTTATTCTCCCACTTGTTGTAGTTACTAACTGCCATGTGCCAGTACTGTAGGAGTACATCAAATAATATGAAATGTGTTGGGTTGAGCATATGTAATCAATCAGCTGTAAAATAAGATGATTAAAGGCTTATAATGACATTTTTAAATAGGTTAAGATTTTTTTGAAATTTCACCTCTTCTCCAGACTGCTCTAAGCTCGTACATATACTGTACAGCAGAGGCAACAGTCAGACCTACATAAGCCGTCCAAAAATTACGAAGCTAAATCTTATTTAAAAAATCTGTCATCCTTTATGGAGCTTATATTTTTAATTTAACGCAGCAAACATGAAATCTACTAAGATAATGAAGTTTGGAAATAATTAATCACAGTACAAATGTAATGTTTGAGTTTCTCTAAGAATATTCCAGTTAAACAGGGTTATAGAAAAACAGAAAATTAATTATTGGTATTAGTCGTGTCAGAATTTTCCTAGAAACGCCTGCAGTCCATCAGATTAAATCTTAATCTAAATATTAAAATATTATAATCATCAAAACTGTGATCTTATTACAGCAATGACATTTATCTCAAGTGCCTTAAAGGACATGCAGATTAGTATGATTAGAACTTGTAGAAAGGAAACCTAATTTTTTGCAATGTTAAGAGGTGTCTAAAGGCCAAAACAATCCCACATAATGTGATTATGTGCACTTGACTTCAAATAAATGCCTCTGAAGATTCAACTGCATTACTTCAGATTCAAATTTAGATCAGCCGTTTCTTGTCAGGCTTATGCGCTTTGAGTGAGTCAAGTCAAGAGCTTGCTCAGTGTATTTTCTCACAGCTTCCGTTGCACTCTCAAATGTGATGAGTAATCAGGCAGAGAGCAGACTTCCTCACACCACAACACAAACTAGAAATGTTCTCTAGTGTGCCAGAAAACATTTGACTGGGTCTCTTGTTTTTTTTTTTTTTCATTACAGCTTATCTTGAACCACAAACGATAAGGATTCCTTAGTAGGCGTGACGCCACTATTTTGCTAAATTACGTTTCATGTTTAGAATAAAATCACTACACTACAGAGCAATGGCACCACCGTTTGTGACTGTCAAATGCAAAAACACCAACATTTGTAGCAGTAAAAAAGTATTAAGTCAGCTGTTCTTATTGTGTCTCTTGTTCAGTTCTCATCCTGAAGGAATAGTCTAACCTCCTAATTCTTCAAGCAGGCATACTGAGATCTAAAAAATTATTTGACCCAAGCTAGTTGGGTTCATTGCACATCTAAACAGAAACTAACCGTTTCACTTGGAAAAAAACACATCAACACTCATTAAGATTTCTGAAGGGAAACAATTCAGACCAAAAAAAAAACTTTTAGGAACAGAAACTCATCTTTAAAATAGTGGAAACTTTGTTTGGTTAAGTTTCAGTTTAGATAAAAGTGTTGTACATGCATCTGATTGGAAAGTCAACTGCTATGATGAAGTCATGACATGAAACTAGAAACAACAGCTTTCTTGGAAATGTTTTGATGGCAGTGATGGGATGATTTATTTCCTCAAATTGATACATGTAGAATTGTGTCATACAAAAATTCACAATCAAATCAAATGAAAACCTGTAACAGACTGTTGGTGAACTAGGTCTATGGCAAATCTGGCAGATCTAATGACAAAATACAACTTTTAAAGTCTTCTTTTCTTTTTTACGGTTAATCTGCCAGATGTGTCTGTGTCATTTTCTGTAAAATAACCAAAATGAATGAACATAACAGGTACATTTTGCCATTGATTTAAACTAAGGAGTAGAGTAAACTAATACTAAGATAAATAAAAAATTGTGTGTGCTATTAGTGGGATAAACCATACTAAGTATTACGCACTTTTTATGGTATTTGAAGTTTTATTCACAAACATTCTCTTTTTTTCATTATGAAACAGGACTGCTGCAGTCTGTCAGCCTTGCGATGCTTTCGGGCTAATCTGCATGTGAAATTCAACATGACAGAAAAGAAACACAGCAAATTTCACAGGAGCCTCAGCAACCCCATTACTGTAAGTAAACTGGTGGGGGGTGGCATGATTTATTATCAATATATGTAAAAGCATCTCATATATCTCAAGTACAATATGAAGTTTGTAGTACTGTAAATGGAAAACTAACACATTTATTTCATCCATTTCAGGAGAAAGGTCTGGACTTTTGTAATTCACCAAATGGGAAGGTAAGACAATATTATTATTATTCTATGTAGTTATTCTGCTGTTATTCTTTTATTTATTTACCACGGATATTTCAGTCACATAAACAACTGTATGTGAGTGTGACATGTGTTGCTCTCGCAGTAGAAGTTCATTAGTAATTAATTATTTTCTTTTGTGTTTGCCCGTTTTCCTTTAGTCCACCTGCCCAGACTGCCTCTCACATCCGATGACAGATGCCACAGAGTTTTTCAACAGACTGGAGACTCTTATTCAAATGGTAAGGGTATTTCTTTCTCCGTTTTCTTATCCCACACACTGTAGCATAAGGAAAAGGTGGCTGAAAATCTGCAGCGCTACATGTCTTTAATGTTGTAAAGATGTGAATATATGAAACAATGCTTAAAATTCACTATCAATTGTTTTCCTCTTTAGGGAATATCCAGACTGAGCATGAACTGAGAAGAGGATGACCAAGAGACCAAGGATTGAATGTAGAGAAGACACTACGCTGAAAAGATGCTAAACATGTTATAGCCTTCTAAATATTTAACTATATACTTATTTAATATTTATTTAGATAGTGGTGATGAACCTACTCAAGCTATGGAGAAGGTATTCTCATGAGAGCTGCTGTACTGCCACCCAGTGGACGTTTTTGGATTTTCTTTTTCACTGAAAGTGAAAGTTTATTTGTTGTAGTTCTCAAAGAATATAAAGTATATACTGACATTTATACTGTGTATGATGTGCTTAGTACTGACATTTTTGTTAATTGAAAAATGGTGTCATCTGAATATATTAAACTGATTTTAACACAGAGGTTTTGGTTTGCTTGGTTTATTTGTAGGCCAATGTATCTGATTCAGCAGATCACTCAAAGTTCTTATAATCTGTACCTCCTCAACCACCATGACTAGCTTTAAACTTTACAACTTTCTCTGAGAGTATATCGACTGGTTGACATGAGCACTGACAGTATGTCACTGACAGTATGTCACTGCTTATTTTTCAATTATTTGATGTGTGTTGCCTTTTTCCCATGAGCATGTCAAAGTTAAACCAAACATTTGAAATAAAATGAAATACATGAAATGAAATACATGAAATGTATTGGATATTTGGCCGCAAAGCCTCTAGACTAAAACTGGACAGCAAAGAAAAGTGGTTTTCCATCTTTTGTACAAATTGTGGCGCTAAATTAAACTTAGAAGATACACTGTTCAACCATAGGTGGCAATATGAGTCCTTCCAGCTGATACTGATCACACGTCATGAGAGCAAACTATGCTTTTCACATACGGTGTTTCTACATTTTGAAACCACTTATGGGGGCACCAAGATATGTTCTTGACTAAAACATATTAGGAGTTAGTGCAAACTGTCAGTATTTTATATGTTTGTCAAAGTTTTATTCTGTTAAGAGTTGCTGTAAAACTATCGTGGAAATAGTACCATTTCTGATTAAGCTGTCCTAGTGAAATAAAGTTGAAGTTAAAAACAAAGCCAGCACAGAAATGTTGTCAATGTTCGACACATTCTGCCCTCATAATCCAAAGCATGGTTGAAAATGACCAAAATTTCATCATTTGTATTTCTTGCCAGTGGATCTTTTACTGTTTGATCTCCTTATTAAGATGTACTTTGTAATTTTTGGATTTCCTATTACAATATATTCATTACACTCCCCTTATTAAGTGTTTGGTATTTTAAAAAGCGGGGTCAACTAATAGCACAGCAGCAGCACTACCCAGGATATGTGAAATCTTAGAAACATGGGACACAGCAGTAGCAGCATAGCTTCTTAACACAGATTTCAGGGCCAAATATAAATGATCATATGTGATGGTCAGCTGATAGAGCTTTGCCCTTACCCACCACCAGAGGGCGCCATGTTGAAGGTAAGTTTTTGGAAGTTAGATGTGTATATGACCTAGGTAGGAACTGAAATATTCAGTTTTTGCTGTTCAGACACGTTCAAACATGGTCTGTTTTTGTTTATTTGAAAAATGAAACATCTGTCTGCCCATATTGACTCATTATTGTTTAAAATCCAGGTGGTTAAATTCTGTGGCAAGAAAACTACCCCAAAAGCACAAACAAGTTTACAGCAACAAGGCAATCCAAATACCACTGAAAACTCTCACAATGACAGGTGCAACCATGTTTTTCAGCAGGTGTCCTACCTACAAAACACCACTACTGTGGACTTCCCAGATGACAAGGGGGATTTCAGCAACTCAAACAACAAACTCGTCAAATTGTACCCAGATGTATTTCACACCTGTGAATAAAGATTCTTGAACTGCAGCTTGTGTTGACTTAACCCACTAGATAAACCTTGGCCTACGCTTTAGTCAAGCGTAAAATAAAAAAAAAACTGTCAAACTGTGCCACTGCAGAAGAGGAAAACGCAGAAAGTAAAGGGAGTAATAATTTCCCCTTGTCCTTTGCCTTTCGCAGAAAAGTCAATTTCCCTTTCTAATACCACAAGCCCACTTACACTAACCACGCATGTTTCTTGCTTTCTCTTCCCAACTCTTATTTGGCAGCCAGCTGATGCAAATACAGGCGGAACTTTGCAGAATTCTGTGTATTCAATGCCAGAATGCTTTTTAAAAAGGTTTTTGATTTGTCACCCGTCTGTGTATATCTGCAATGATAAAGGCTGTGTCATAAAGTCAACGCACTCGCCACATTTCCATTGCTTATGCTTTGTATAGAGGCCTGGTTGATTTTTCAAAAATAAAAAAATAACAGTGACATAAAAGTGAAATATATGGTTTGATACAAACATTTTTAGACGGCATAGATGGTGCCAAAGTGTGCCAAAATGGCCATTTTGACACCAAAATTATTCAGATAGACCTTGTAGTTGCAGAGATATACTCTATTTATTTTAGGTATGTCATTTTTGAGCAGAGGCCTAAAAAAGAGGCTGGAGCTGAAGTTACAAATGGGCTTCTTAGAATCTGTGTAAAGGGTTGTTAACAACAACAACAACAACAACGGCCCCAAGCACCTTCATATATAAAAATGATAGAACAACAGTTCTCTTCTTTTTACTAGAAAGGATGAGCCAACTTTTTAATGTAGTATCAATATGTTTTAAGGCTGTTTAAAATTACATAAAGTACATGATCTCTTGATATTACTCAGCAAAAACAATATAAACGTGATTTCTATGTCAGATTGCCATGTCAGACACATTCAGATATCTCTGTGAAGTAGCCACACTTGGTTATAGTGTTTTCACACGACAACAATTAGCATGGGACAAGAGTCGCTATATACAACGTACAAAACCACATTTCACTTTGCAGAAATTATCTGATGAATCCAGCTGTAGAAACCCTTTGGCTTCAAATAATTTACCTCATGTTAAACCATTAATTGTTGCTTGCTGCTATATACGACCAAGCTCAAGTGTACAATACACTGATGAGAAATGTGTTATGTTTCAGAAAGTTTCAGATTCAGATAGAGATATACTGTACTTTCTGGGAGACTGGGAGAACATGGACTGGCTTTCTCAGTCCTGTGTCCTGACACAGAGATTACTACTTGTAATGAATGTATGTGTATTGGGTAATACCATCCACATGCATAAACCATATTTACAGTTGCAAGAAAAAGCATGTGAACCCTTTGGAATTACCTGGATTTCTGCATAAATTGGTCATATATTCATAACAGAAGTTATCTCAGGACACTTTTCAAATAGAGCAGGTCTAGACCGAACTTCTTATAACATTTAACAGAGACCCAACAGTACCACCATG